CACACACACACACACACACACACACACACACACACACACACACACACACACGCACACACACGCACACACACGCACACACACATGCACACACACGTAGGCTTACAATTACATGCATAATATAAATGAGCAGCCATATAAACAATAATAGTCGTGTTTTTACACGGCAGAGAGAAAATCTCTGAAAAATATAGCAATTTTTTTCCGGTAGATCTAGATCTATTTGTTTTACGGCGTTCACAACTGCATGAGGTCATGTGGGCGCGCAACAATATAATTATATACTATCTCTTCATGGTAACAAATTGAAACAATCGAAATTCACATAGAAAGAATAAAAATTTGGTCGTCATTGAGTCATTGAGCACTGTTTTTACGTGACAAAGAGAAAAATCCATGAAGAATAAAAAAATATATAATTACATAATACATAATATCTCTTCATAGCAAAAAAAAAAATAAATAAAAAAAATAAAATCTAAATTCACATAGAAAGAATAAACATTTGGTCGCCATCGAGGATTGTTTTTACACAGCAGAGAGATAAACCCGTTGAAAATAAAACAGTATAATTACAAACTATCTCTTCATAGCAACCAATAGAAACAATTGAAATTCACATAGAAAGAATAAAAATCACTTGAAGAGAAAAAAAAACTGAAGATAACCAGCCTCTCCTACTGAGTTATGATATAATATCATTCTTTACGGTTCTGAAGGAAGGAGAAGGGTGAAGGAAGGAGGGTCGTCACAGATTATCGCAAAACTGTACGTTGTAGGACCTACAATAGGAATATAGTACGATAACATATCATCATCATCATTGCCTTTCTCACCCTGGATCAGGATATAGGCCACGAACAAACACTATTACAAACACTACTATAATATATACTATGTGTAAATTAAAAATTCAAAACCTATTTGTTTGTATCAGATCAGTGTTAAAATGGAAATGCGAGGAAGCTGCAACCCCATTGCAGCCAGTATACCTATTGAATGATCAGACCGGTGACGGGGAAACACCATGATAAAATAGGTTTTTGAGAGCATCTGAGAGGAGAAATGAACTTAAAATAAGAACTAGATTGAAATATATTCCAGAATTGTACAGTAAATATTATGTTTATTTTCAACTTCAGGCAGACACGTAGTAAAACAAAGCCACCCTTCCCGAGGAGAAGTGACCCTTTCTATCAATCTGCAAAAATAAAACAACCAGGACTGTCATGCATTTAAAATCTCAAGGCTCAAAATAAAAGGAAGCAAACGTTTTTGACAATAACCTGTGATGTTTTCGAGTTGGACGAGCTATAGAGGAAAATAACACCGCGGTTGTAAACACACACGCACTCTATTGATCCTTTCCGACACTAGCAAGAAAACTCCGCATTTACACAAACACACACGCGTGCGGTTTCAGTAACCTTTAGGTTGACAACTTCCCAATTCTAGAATCATTGACGGTTAACAGACCATTTGACTAAAGGCATACTTTGTTCAGCAGATAAGACGTATGGTGTGACGTCACCTTGCAAAGTCATTGTGCCCGGGAACCGACAGAGGGCGCCTCTGAGGTTAGGTAAGAACCGTAACTCATGACGGTGACCAACAGTTGATAAGCCGGCCAAAGCGGTACATAGACACACGGGAGGTTGAAGATCACATCTGAATCACATTAGAACTGGCTTGCTTTCGGATTAAAAGGAGTTCGCTTATTTGGGTTACTCACTTTTGCTCGCAGTGGTAGGCATAATAATATACATACTTCCGGAAAGGTCTTTTCCATAAGCGTATTGTACGGGTAACAGCTTTAGATTTTAACATAGACTAACTGAACTGTATGGATTACAGCTAAGCTATTTAAATGGACTGACTGTACTGTACCGGTAACAACTTAAATAAACATAGAGTAGCTGAACTCAATTCTCCCCCTTCTCCTCACCCCTTTACCCCCCCCCCCTTTCCAAACTTTCCAAACAAGCAAACAAACAAACAAACAAACAAATAAAGGAACAAACAAACAAACAAACAAACAAACAAACTGTGGCGTCCAAAAGAAAACTGAAAATGTAATCGCCTAATCATCGTGTTAAAGCCTTGCACTCACTCATACAGCATACCAGTTTAAAGCTAAACAAATTCTGCATCATCTGACGCATCAATATTTCATCTAGATCTATGTTAAGAGATGCCCGAGATATGCTAACTCAAAATTAACCTTTAAAAATCATCATCTTCATCATCACTGCCTTTCTTATCCTGCACCAGGGTATAGGCCACGGACAAACACTTTCCACCTTTCTCTATCCTGGGCTAGCCTCTTGCTGTTATTCCATGTCTTCCCACTTTTCTGTACACAAATTTCTGTGGTTCTTTTCCTTGTTCCAGGCGGTCTTTCCCTTGATCTCTTACCTTGTGGATTCCAATCCAAAACTTTCTTGTTATGCAGCTGCCATCCAAAACTTTCTTTGTTATGCAGCTGTTATGTTCGCACGTGTACTGGGGCGCATCAACATTGGTGGAAGTGACATGTATTGAATATCAAATGAAAAGATAATATTATTATTGTCTCCACAAAGAACAGCCTCTTCTGATGATATTTTCAAACAGATTGGAAAACAGAATAGTCAGAAATACCACGCACTACCTGGACTTAACATTACATGTCATCATTGCCTTTCTCACCCTGTGGCAGGATATAGGCCACGAACAATAACTCTCCACCTTTCCCTATCCTGGGCTAGTCGCTTGATGTCACTCCACGTCTTCCCACTTTTCTGTACATCCATTTCCGTGACTCTTCTCCGGGTTCCACGAGGTCTTCCCCTTGATCTCTTACCCTGTGGGTTCCAACCTAACGCTTTTCTTGTTATGCAGCTGCTTGTCTTCCTGAGAGCGTGTCCAATCCATCGCCAACGTCTTCTTCCCACCTCATCTCTAACCGGGCTCTGTCTGGTTCTTCTTAACACTTCCTCGTTGGTGATCTTGTCTGTCCATATGACCCCCAGCTGCCTCCTTAGACACTTGTTCAAGAAAACCTGGATCCTCTTTATGCACATATGGGATGCGTTCCATGTCTCACATCCATACAACAAGACTGACTTCACATTTGAGTTGAAAATTCTAAGCTTTGTTCGTAATGAGATATCCCTGGTCCTCCAAATCCTGCTCAAAGAAATAAATGCAGCCTGTGCCTTTCCAATGCGGGACTTTATTTCAGCGCCTGTTCCTCCCTCTCTGTCGATTATACTCCCAAGATAGTAGAAGGATTCGACGTCTTCTACTTCTAGTGCATTTCCTTGTACTGTGACCTGCTCAATATTACATGTGCTCATTAGTAATTTGTTTCTGTTTAGGAGCTATTGGACTCTTAGTTAGATTTTGCCCACAATCATTGGTCAGTGGAGAACAGAGGCCATGCAACTGTCACAATTTTAATGGAGCCGATGCCAAAAGGGTTCGTTCTCTACCCGAAACCAGTGGCCCTAAAGCTAAAAAACAATGTGCACATTTAATGTTAAGTCCAAGTTTTGAGTGGTATTTGTGATTGCTCTGTATGTATTTTGTATAGGTTTAACGCCCCTATCACCACTATTAGATTATTTAAGAGGCGAGACCCCGGAGTATAACTTCCGTCTCCGAAAGGACCGAGCCAAATGGGAAATTCATGTAAAATGCCTTTCCCAAGGACACACTTAGCAGTTGCGAGCGCCGTAAAACCTTATACTACTACTACATAAAGACACACCGTCGGACCGAGCTGGGGCTCGTCGAACCCCCCAAACCCGCAATCTCACGATTACGAGTCCGTTAGCCTAACGACAAGGCTACCAACGCCATGTGGTTGCTCTGTTTTCCGTTTCCTTTGAGACTATCGTAATAGAAGAATAATATTGTCTTCTGCGGAGACCAAATTCTCCAGTCATTTGATAAGCAAAATATGTCCATTCCATCAATACTGATGCCCCTCAAATATCCGCGCAAAGGTAATGTTAGCTTTCTTTGAATTCGCACAAATTTGCAAGGCAGGCTGATTTTTTTTTAAAGAAGTCAGTTTTGAATGACTATATCTCGGGTGTCTCTTAACGTAGATGAAATATTAATGTGTCGGATGATGCAGGATTTCTTTAGCTTTTAATTGGTAAGCAGCAAGAGTGGGTAGTTTTTTTTAAAACGCAATGATTGGGTGATTACATTTTCCAGTTTCTTTTGGCCGTCACTGTATAAACATTGATACTGTGTTTAAATCACGAAGATGGGGGAGATTTGGTTTACAATATCGTTCATACACAGATATTATTATAACAATTACTACATTTTAAAAGCTGTAATACTTTAATTTTACTTAATCCACGATATCCCACTAATTACTAAAATGGACAGTAAACATGCTATAGCCAGCTGTTCGCCATTTTTTTACTGCCCTGTTTTTCAGCTAAGATGATTTAGTCTTGCTCAAGGACGCACCCAAATGACAACACTTCAAAATGCAGTGTCAACGACAGACGCACAAAGAGTGCTCAAGAAGACGTGAAACGTTTTCTCCTAGCGTATCTGCCAGTGGCATGATCTGCAACTTTAACCTGAGAAAACATTTTTTTAGGACTTTAAGAACCTCTTCCTTACTAGCTCATTGAAAGTGAAAGTGTTTTATCTGAGGTTGACCAGTGACATTTTCGGAAAATAGCTCAATGATGATAGGGTGTGAACTAAACACAAATCCGAGCATAATCTTGTGAATATCTTATA